AAGGAGCGGCTGGAAAGCTAAGACATGATATTTTCTGCCTATCTGGATCACCCTGAAGAGAGGGGAGGAGGGAAAAAGTCAAGAAGGAAAAAGAATCTGCTATGAGCTGTTGTGTGGTTCTTGAGAGAGAAACTTCCCTTTAGCTAGGATTCGTTTCAGTGCCTTCATTTCAAGTGAGGGGCTTTGCTAGCTGGAAACATCTTAGATGCCTTCTCCTCGAGATAAAATGTTCCTTGTCTCTAAGGGACTCCATCTCATTTTGATTCCTCTCAGCACAGCCCCGCTCCTTTCATGGAAGCCTTGCCAGCACTGAGGGCTGCTTGAGGTGAAATGCTAGCCTTTTTTAAAGAGACTCCATTCATTCCCTTTCCTGAGCTGAAAGGAAAGGCAAGCCATTCACCACAAATGATGCCCCCTCCCTTCCTCTCTACTTGCTGGCCTCCTTGTGAAGTCCCTGGCACAGGCAGGGAAAATAAGCTTGTTTTACACAAGGCGTTGTCTCCTCTGGAGGTGTAAGATGTAATAGCTAGGCAGACACCACGCACACACGCACATATGCATGCACACACATGCACACATGCACCCATGGGGTGCTTCTCTCTCTTCAGCCATCACTCAACATGGCAACTCACAGGGAGAGATAGGCAGCGCAGAACTCTGTGTGTGTGTGTGTGTGTATCTGTGCGTGCGTGCGTGCGTGCATGCATATGTGTGTGTGTGTGCGTGCGTGTGTGTGAAACCCAGCACAGAACCAACTACAACTTTTGTGCATGTGTGAAACCCAAAGAGGTAGACATAAGCTCACACACCACAGCATGCAGATTAAAACTGCTTTGGCAGTAGCAATTCCCCAGCCTGGGCAGGTGGATTCATTGTCACAAAGGTATTTGTCTTGTTGGGTCCAGCATATCAAGATCCCTAGCTATAAATCCCTGGCCCTGCATTTATGCCAGGGTAAATTTGGAGCCATTTCCATCAGCTTCTGTTGAAGGCTCCTGACACAACAGTGTGTAGGGGCTTGTCCACAGGAGGGAGACTTGCGCCCAAATGACCACATGTACACAGCTGCCTCAGGGCAAAGCTCTCTGGTGGATGTTGTACCAGTGTGTGCAGAAATGCCCTGATAAATTACTGGGAATTCCTGTCCAGTGCAAGCCCCAGCATGTAGCAGTGCATAGGGAACTACATCAATGCAAAAAAAACCCCTAGGCTAGGTGTGGCTTGAATGCTGGTCAGGAGTCACCACGGATTTGCACCAGAAAATCTAGAGAATGATAACCTTCCACAATTTGGAGCACCTACCTCTCACCAGCACCTCCCCTACCTTGCTTCTCTCATAGCCAGGCCTGGGGAGGGTCTGGTGTCTAGGGGCATGTGTAGATGAAACTGGCATTAATGTCAAGCGCCTGAAAATTTTAATCCGACTTTTTTTTTGCGCGGTGCATTTGTGTTTGCAGCGCATTTGTTGTGGTGCGGCGCATTTGTTTCCTGTGTCATTCCCCACAGATTTCAGTAGGGGGAGGACTGGGTACAGCTGCTTCCTGCTGCTTGGCACTGGGAAGCATCCCAAGGGTGAGCAGGTGTGTGGAGGCCCTGCAGCTGCCTGGCAGTCATCAGCTGCTGAAGCTGTAGGCTTCCTGCCAGCACACCAGATCTCCCTTGGGATTTCTGCCGGGCAAGGAGGGCAGAGCAGCACTCCATCTTCCCTGGCCACAGCTCTCATTCTCTTTTTTCTCCCCCTCTTCCAGTGGCGAGTTTTCCTCCCCAGTTTGAAGTTCGAGGTGATCGACTCCCCTTACATCTCACTCTACACAGGTAAGGCTCCCCACATTGGGCTGCTGCCCTCCCTGCTTGTTCCACTTGTCCCTCTGTGAACATATGTCTCTTATAGAGGCATTTAGGCGCCAGGGATGTGTTCATAGCCCATTCACAAAGCTGCATGTCACGGGGATGGTGGTCTATACATGTGCCATGTACGATGATGCACAAAAGCATGTGCATTTGTGTGGACACCAATGTGTAGAGGCGGCCATGAAATTAGGCAAACGTGCATGCAACTGCAACAGATGTGGCAGTGCAAATGCAGAACATGCTGTAACAAGACATAGATCCTTTAAGGATCTAAAAAGTCCTGCTTGCCGATGAGGTGCAAGTGAAAGGGATCAGGCTTCTGGATGGATCTGCAGCTGGGAACATTGAAAGGGCTATCTGAAAAAGGGCAGGGGAGCAGAAGGGTCCTGTGGAAGATAGGCACTGTTTTGTTTTACAATCTGGAATAAGGCATGGTTTTTTTTAGCCTGAAGAGGAAAAGGCTAGATTTTTCTGGAGGGCTTTGAATAAAGGACCCGTTTTTGGAAGCTATATAGTGTGGCTGTGGCAACCAGCAAAGCCCAGAAGCAAGGGAAATGCTCACAGAAGAGTATAGGCATAGCTACTCCTAGATCTTCCCTGACCAATGCTTGTCCAACCCCTTCTTGAACACCTCCAGTGATGGAGAGTCCTAAAATTCCCCAGGCAGTCTATTTCACTGCCTCACTGTTCTAACAGTGAAGAAGTTTTTCCTGATATCCAATCTAAACCTGCTTTGCTGCAACATCAAGCCATTGCTCCATGTCCTGCTCTCTACAACAAGAAACTGTGTTATCCCTCTTCTTTATGGAAGCTCTTCAGATATTTGAAGACTGCTATCACATCCCTCTTAAGTGCCTTTTTCACAAGCCAAACATGCCTAGCTCCTTCAACCCCTCCTCATATGAGTTGTCTTCCAAGTCTTTTATCATTTGTTGTCATCCACCTCTGGATTCTATCTTCTCCATGTTTTTTTTTAAATGTGGAACTCAAAATGGCACACAGTACTCTAGATGAGGCCTAACCAGTGCTAGTAAAGAGGTATTATCATCTTCTGTGTCTTGCACCTAATGCTTGTATTGATGCATCCCAAAACCACATCACACTGCAGGCTCATTTTGAGTCTGTGCCCACCAAGACTCCTAAATCTCCCTATAGCACTGCCATCCAGCCAAGTTTCACCCATTTTGTATTTTTATTTTTGATTCTTCTAGCACTTTACATTTGTCGGCAATGAACTTCATCCTGTTAGCTGTAGCCCAGCTTTCCAGTCTGTCAGGATCCTTCTGAATTGCATTTCTGTCCCCCAGCATATTCACAATCCTTCCATTTCATGTTGTCTGCAGATTTACTCAAGAAGGTTTCTATGCCAGCATCCAAATCCTTAATAAAGATATTGAACAACACTGGGCCCAGAACAGACCCCTGTGGGACTCCACTCAAAACCTCCTGCCATTCTGACATGGACCATTTATAATTACCCTTTGCTTATGGCTATTGAGCCAGTTTTCTGTCCATCTTACAGTAGTTTTGTCTAGCCCACATTTCTCTGATTTGTTTATAAGAAGGTCATGTCAGACCTTGTCAAAAGCCTTGGTGAAGTCCAGATACACTATATCCACAGCATTCCCTTCACTCATCCAAGCATTTACTTTGCTGAAAAAGGAGATCCCTGCAGTGCTCTGCTCTCACCCACCCTCTACAGGGGAGGGAGGGAGAGCCACATAGACAGTCTGTGGGTTGGGTGATAGCCTGCCGGACTGTTTAGCAACTGAGTCCCACTCCCTGGTTTTGCACTCAGGGGCCTGCTGCCACTGATGCTGGCCTTTTAAGCCCCAGTCCTTTCTACCTCTCTGCTCTGATGATAGGGGTGGAGAGGATTGGCTAGAAAGTGAGGGGAGCCAGACAGCCCTCTACGCCACCACCCTCCCCTACTTCCAAAGACATCTTCCACCCCCTGTACCATCCCCAGCTGGAAATTTTGAAACATTCCAGCCAGAGGCTGTACATGTGTCCCCAATCTGAAAGGTTCCTTTTTGAAACGTTTCCAAACCCACTCCAATTGCTTCAGTTACTTCCATCCATGCCCAGAGATGCTCCCCTCTCTGGGTAAAGGTGACTTCTCCAGGGCCCATGCCGTCCCATCTCATAGCTTCCTAACAAGACAAAGGGAAGCTGAGAATAGCAGCCAGGCAAACCTCTCAGCTCATAGCCCTGACCCTGAGTGACGATGGCCTGTCTTGTAAGTGGGGATGGATGGTGCAGAGTTTAATTAAATCTATAGATCTTCTGCCTTCCACCCTAGACAGCCTGGCAGCAGGAGCCTTGTGATGAATGGATCCTACCCCTGCACTCAATACACACAGGGCTGGGAATGAAGCCTGCTCTGGAAGGTAACAGAGATGGGCCCTATAGTTCCATGCACATTAAGGGGCTATGATCAATAGGTAAAAGACAGATCAGGCACAGCAGGGTGGGTATTTGTGCTGGAAAGTTGGATGGTGCACACATGTATATTCCCTCAGATGCTACCTGTCAGTGTGGAGGTCTCGTTTGGCCCCTAACGCCCCTGCTTCCTCCCCATGATGGGTGACTGCAGACGGACAGGTGCTGTCACCATTCTCTCAGCTGGCTGCTCTGGAGGGAGACCAGGAAGAGGGGGATGTGTGAGTTGGAGGAACCAGCTCTCATAGGGAGAAGCCGGATGTTCCTCATTTGTTACAGAGAGCAGGGCCATCTGTATCCTTCCCCTGTTGTTCAGCAAGGAGGGGTTGCTCAGCCTGTCTGCAGCAATTGATCAAACTCTTTGCTTTTGGGGACACCCCTGCCTCTCTCCATGCCCCTCAGAACCTGTGGGTACCTAGCATGACAGGAGTCCTACTCTCCTGCCCTGCCCACTGAATCAGTGGCTACTGCTACTCTATTGCAGGTACAGCTTGACTGTAGCCACTGTGAGGTGAGCCAGCCATTGGCTAATATTGTCACATAATGAGGGCTTGGATGGTGAGGGCTTTGGAGGAGGCCCAGGCAGGTGACTCTGACCCTCTGAGAAGCAAGAGGATTCTCCTGTCTGGTCCTGCCCAGCTGGCAATGACATGCTAGTTGCAGTGTTCTGGAGCCTTCAGGAATAGCTGGCCAGAGGCCTCTTTGGTTGTGTTTAGGTGCCTTCTGTTCCTCTAGGAGTGAAATATTATGAAGTGATTGTCATGGATTTGCAGGAAATGCCATTCCTCTGGCCTTTCTATAAGCAACCATGGATTGTAGCCCTATAGTGGCTAGACCCCAGGTCTCTGCATCCCCAAGACAGGGTCACTGGCTGCAGCACTGTCACTGTAGTTCCCTGTGACTTGCCCAGCCAGTCCAAAAAGTACGTCAACTCCTGCTAGATACTTTGCCTGTGAGGGATCAGTGCAGCCTGCCATGACATGGGGCACAGTAACATAAGCCCAGCTGCCATGTATTGGCCAATTGCAATGGAGCCAAGACTAAGATGTTAAAGCAGCGGTTCCCAAACTGTGAATTGTGATCCCAAATGGGGTCACAACAGATGGGATTGCTGGGGGTGGGGGGCTGTGGGTTGGGAGTGAGGGGCCATGCTGAGGAAATGGGGTCATGCTGAGGACAAGTTTGGGAAGCACTGTAATACAGCAAAGCTGTCATGCCCCTCCATGATACCAGTATTGCTTGCCTCCCCGCCCCAGAGCACTCAGGATGTCTCTCCTCTCCCACTTTGTACCACCTGGAGAGCTCTGAAGACCAAGAGCTCCACTGCAGTTCTGTGTTTCACGTTGAAATCAATCTGGTTCTCTGTGTTCTCTTTTGCTTGCCTGCCAGCCACTAAAAGCTGATGTCCACTCACTGGTCTCCCTTGCTCCCTGGTGCCTGAGGAAAATTCAGCTCCTTTATACCCTGTGGGTAGCAATACAAAGGCCACAGGGAGGCAGTCACACACCTGTTCATAAAGATGTTGCAGAAATGTCCAGCTTCCCCTCATTGCCCTACACCTATAGGCAGGTAGGGATCTTTTTGGATCTCAGTAGATCTTGTGAGCTCTGCATCCTGGATTAATCATTTCCACACATGGGCCCTTCACAACATGACACGTCCTGTGAGGACAGGCCTATCTCGTGCTGTGTTCTCATATTACTGGATGGACAATGGCAATGCTTCCTAGCGGGAGGAGAGAAGGAGCTCTGGACATGGGTGTGTCTGAGGAGACCCCTTGTTCAAGGCGAACACCATTGATCCCAGAAGGCTGACAACTGAAGAGGACTGAGCTGCACTGGAGTGAGTAGAGGAGGGTATGGGTCAGAGCAGACATGGCCAGTGGGGATGTGTAATGCAGATTGTTTCCAGGGAGTACAACCTAGCTGTGACAGGTACAACCCTTTACCCATGATACAAAGGGAATCCCTTTGCTCCTGCTTTGAATGGATGATGGAAATTTTAGTCAGATCACCTTCCTGGTCAGATGATCCCTCCAACCCACCAAGTATCCCCACATGCATCAGCTGGGTGCCTGGACTCCCACCTACCCATGGTCCATTTTGTACCCTGCCATCTATGCATGGGGTTCAGGATCTGCACTGCCAGTTGGCAAACTGGGCTCATGCCTGCTTGCTTCCCCATAGCTTTCTTGACTCTGCGATGTTGCAGACTTGCACCTGCCAGTCAGTTAAGTAGATGCAACTCAGGGCTTCCTGAATATATCTATATATATATATAGATATAAGCAGTAAAAAGGTGACCTTCCTACAGGTGCTTCTCCTGTGCCCTGGTTTCTCTACGTTACTATGCTGGGTTCATCTAGCACTAGGCTGAGTGCCGACAAATATCACTCTCAGGATTTTAAGTGAATCCACCACAAGATTGCAAAATAAAACAAGGGAAGGGAGTGATGTTCTGGTGGTATTAACCTCCCATATACACCGGCCTCCCTTCAGATGGGGAAGTTGCATGAAAGATCGCTTAAAGCTTAATTCCACTGTGTGACCCTGGGAATTAGAGTCTGTGAGTGCTTCCACTAAGCGGAACAGCCCCTTCCCTTTGACTCTGCCCCTGAGTGCTGTAATCACAGTGAGAGCCGCTGGCTCTGAAAACAGTCGTTCCGTTTCTTTATGATTGTCATTATTAGATTTGGTTTGGTATTCAAATCCCAAGGCTGAGGCATACAGCACGGAGCATGTTATTAGGTCCCAGGGAACAAACGTGGGAAGGCGTCGTAGCAGTTGCTCACCTTAAAAGGCTGGTGTGTTTTCAGGCTGGCATTGAGAGTATAACTTGCTAGTCAGGTCACCAAAGCAGGGTACAGCTGCCAGTGATTCCAACAAGATGTAGGGACCTGGCCTTCCATGGGCAAGTGGAAGCTGTGTGAACATTTGGGGGACACTGAATACACAAAAGGCATGCGACAAATCTAAGGGTTAGGCATACAAACAGATATGACGCTGAGTTAAATGGGATGGGGTGAGGCTTTGCTGTGTGTCAGCTGCTCCATAGTAATTGTTTGGTATGTCCATCCCTGCAAGTGGAAGCAGTGTCCTCCTGAACGAAACACACCTAAGTTATCACAGTTTAGATTCCACTTACTGCAGGTAAGTGTGGACTCAGTTACTATGGAAACAGTTACTGCCAAACAGCTGAGGCATGGTAAGTCCCATGCTAGCTTGGTATAATCTGTTCATCTGTCCATAGTGTTAGATCAGGGGTGGCCACCCTGTGGCATATGCATTACAAGTGGCATTGGCAGTGTCTGTGTGTGCTATGCAGTGGATTGGAGCAGGAGCAGAGAATATAGCAGCAGGAAGCAAAGCAGTAGATAGGGCAGGGAACATAGAGCAGGGAACAGAAAGCAGAGCAACAGATCAGGCAGGAGAAGGCAATTGCAGTGGCCCTTAGGGAGTTCACATTGCTTATCTGTGACGCACCTGCCAAAAAGGTTGATCCCCGCTGTGCTAGACAGCTGTACCTCCACCCTCTCATTAGGACCTTACGTTTGAAAACACCATGTCCTGTGACTTGCCCAGGAAGTCCAAATGTCTATGAAATCTATGAAATCTTTCCAGCATCACATGCAACTTGGATGAGTGCTGTGGTAATCAGTAGAGTTCTTGTCCTAGAATTGATGTTTATCTTGCTGGGATCCTATGATCCCTGCTGACTTTCTGCCCCTGGAGCAGGGGGCTGGACTTGGGGGTCCCTTCCACCCAAATGTCTATGAAATCTATGAAGTCCATGGTAGAGGCTGGATTTGAATACACATCTCCTGTCTTCCAGACCTGTACTTTGACCTTTGCCTCTCCTTCCTGTTCTCCACTGTGAGTGGATGTCCACCTTGGGGCACTGGCAAGACATGGACATGCAGGCAGGCAGTATATGAGGGCACTGCCCACAGTCATGGTGGAGAAGGTGTTTTCGGATGCATGTACCATTTGACTATGTTCCAGGCATTCCCCATTCCATACCCTCTACCAAGCTGCGTAAGTGGGGATATCACACCCTGCTCCATAGCGGGAAGCAGAGGCTGGGGGAGGAGACAGCGTCTCTGGTTTCCCAGCCCTCTGTGGGCAGCCATCTCAATAAGCCAGCACAGCTCTGTGCAAACAGTCGGGCTTGTCTGATAAACATGACATTAGGAGGAGGCAGCACTTAATTGATGTGGCGTATCATTCCTTGCAGGCACAAGTGATGTTCCCTGTAGCCTGGTGAGCAGGGAGCATGTTCTTTCCAGAGCGGAACATTTTCTTCCCGGGGAGGGGGAGGTGAATTCTTGCCAGTTATCCTACACATTTGCTCGGACGATCATTGATGGGTGTGACCCTGTGCCGAAGCACCGAATGGGAGCCAGGAGTGGGAGCTGAGTCACAGCATCACCAATGGTGTCCAGAGTTAGCTGGGTTTATTAACTATTGGGCCTCTGGCTGTCTGCCCTTCTGTGCCAGCCATACATTGGATGTAATGTGTCCCTGCCATTTGAGCTGCTATCTTGGCACTATTTATGTCTTCTGTCAGCCTTGCAGGTTAACCTGTGAGGGGAGAGACTTAACAGAGCCAGCGCTACCAGGAAGGGAGGGGAGAGCCCCCTCTTCTTGCTAACCAGCTCCACAGTCTAGGCAGAGACTTTTATAGGCAGGGTGTGACTTGGGGTTGCGGGCTGGGGCACATCCCTCTCAGGATCCTGGAGCTGAGGTGGTCCCTCAGGAGCACCCAGGGGCTGGAGTTCCCAAGGGAGTCGCTCTCAAGAAAGTGGCTAGCTGCATCAGGAACCCCCGCAGCCTGGCTCACCAAGAGCTGAGCAGAGACCCCTGACCACTGGCCTGTGTGCACTCTCTGTGTTTTGCCTCCTTCAGATGAATCCACTCTGAAGATGAACCAGGTGGACCACATCCCACAGTCCCATGCAAGCCATACTGGGAGCTACTTCTGGGAGACGCAGAGGGATGAGCATGGGGCTGATATGCTCAGATCCGACCCCAGGGACACCTTCTTCCTCAGTAAGTGAAGCTAGTGCTTTTGGCTCCTTAGGTGGCTGGGAAGGGTATATGAGGAAATCGAGGCTGAGGCAGGTAGGGAATTGACCCCTCTAGGGTTGGAGACCTGCTGTTAGTCATGTGAGGAGGGAGGCACAGGGTACAAGACTGAGCAGGAAAAGCTGCCCAATGGCCCCCTTCCCTCTCCCAGACCTCTCTCCCGGTGAGGAGCAACCTAGAAGGTAATCTGTGATGGACAGGTCTACAGGGGACCACCATGCAGTGGGTGGGCCAGAGTGGGGAGTTTTAGGGAGCAGGTTGGGATGAATATGGGTGGAATGGGCTATGGAGGACTGTCTAGGAAGGGGTTGATCTATAAGGGGCAGTATGAGAATGGGGAGTTCTATGTACGGAGCTGGCCAACAGGGTGAGTATGGCATGGATGAGTATCTGGGATGGGCATTTGGACAGATTGGGTTGGACTGGGCTATAGGGTACAGTCCATGATGGGCAGTTGTTGGGAATGGGTTGGGCTACAAGGGACAGTCTTTGCTGGGTCAGCCCATAGGCAGTAACCTGCAGTGGATTAGCAAGGGATGGACAGTCTCCCAGGTTGGCTAGCTGGGCTAGAGGGAACTGCCCAGGTTTCCTCTGTTGGAGTGGCTGAGGGTCCCTGGTTACTGGCAGTGTAGCCTGAGCTGTGGTTTCCTTCTGTTGCACTGCCTGACTGCCTGCCCCCAGCTCCCCAGATTGAGGCGTCCCGTGTGGAGAATGTGCTGGTGCCCTGCGCTTACAGCCCCACCTATGTGGTGAAGGATTTCCCTATTGCCCGCTACCAGGGCCTACAGTTTGTAAGTGTCTCCCTGGCACGGAGGATTACGGGGGGATGGAGAGGGTGCACAGAAGCAGAGGGCTCGGAGGTCTCTAACTGGCCCAGGAAATGGTACTGTCCTTTGCCGTCCCTTTACAAAGACTTCTTTCCTTCCTGGGCCACAAAAGCTGACAGTCTCTCACCCTGTCCCAGAGGCAGAGGCATCAGGATCCAACACACCCTGCCAGCCTCTTGCCAGCTCACACTGATGAATTCCAGACACCTTCCAATTGTCTGGGCCTCCTAGTACCTTGCATCTCCACAGAGCAGCCACCCTTCCCACACTGTCCTCCATCCCTATCTAGTTTCTCATACCAGCTCTGTGCTGTTTCATGCGTAGGCACCACCCCACCTCCAGGCCCCTTCGCAGGGTAAAGGGCTTTCTGTTCAACTCTTTATTGGAGTTAAAATCTAAGGGGAAATGTTTCTGGAGAGCAAGAGCCAAGCTGTGGGGTGGAGGCTGCAACGTGGCTTTGGGAAGCCACAATGCCAGCACTGAGTCTGTCCTCTCGATCTGGTCCCCTCTGGTGCCAGGCCTTCATCAGAGCACCTCCGAAAAAGACCAGGTCGCAGGGTGATGAGCAACAGGCTTCACACCCACCTAAGGAGATTGTGCCAATGGGTGCCTCAGAGTCCTAACCAAGAGCACCCTCTGCTGGCACTTTGGTCCATCCTCCTCCCTCCTCCACATGTGCCCCCACTGCCCTGGCTGAGACCGGCCCCCCTCCCTGCTCCACCCACCCCGTGCCCACTCTCAGTGATGTCCCTGGCTCCCCAGGTCTACCTCTCATTCGTGTATCCCAATGACTTCACCCGTCTCACCCACATGGAGACAGAGAACAAGTGCTTCTACAGAGAGTCCCCTCTGTACCTGGAGAAGTAAGTGTGGGGCATGGGAATGGGCAGTGGGGATGGCAGGGCCCCTGGGATGCAGTTGTGGTTAAATGGAGGCTGTCCTTTAGGACACATGGTCAGTACAACCCCTAGGCATGCAACTGCTGTAAACAGAGTCCTGAATGCCTTGGGCACATAGACCCCCCAAGGGAATCAAAGCCCAAACAGGGGCTGTCAGGGCAAGGCAAGCAGCTGCCATGCCAGGATGCTGCTGCTGTGGAGAGGGGCGCATCCAGGGATGGATGGATCTGGACTCAACTGAGCCTGCCAGCAGGGTGCATAGTCCTTGTCGTACCAAGCCATTTCCTGGTGATTGAGACCTGACCAAACCCTTTTGACATGGCCCCCAACACATATGCAGATAGGGCCAGTGCTGACCTGGGTTAAACCCACTCCTGCCCAACCATCTCTCCGCACCCGCTGGCTCAGGCCATCCCAGACTCTACACTTAATGGGAGCTGGCAGACCACAGAGACTCAGGCTTCTCTCCCCTTCCTTCCCCAGCAGCCCTACATTTGTCCTCTTTTCAGAAGGTAAGGGAGAATCTCTCTTCTGCTGCATATATGCAGGTACAGACCTGGAGGGAAACTGTTAGGGTTTCCCAAGCACAGAAGTCCCACCTAGCTCTTGGCTTGCAGCAGCAGGTGGTAGCCTAGCTTGAGACTTGTCTTTCTTGCAGACTCAGTCTGGAGATTTCAGCTCTGTTGAGATCCTACAGCTTGGAAGAGACTCCCAGTTTATTGTCATGCAACATAAATGCAGCTTTTGTGTGTGTTTGTGTATGTTTGCATGCATGCACTCAGCTACATGCTCTTCCATCTCCTGCTTTTCCTTCCCTTCCCTCCCTCCCTCCCAGGTTTGGGTTTTACAAGTATATGAAGATGGATGAAGAAGAGGAAGATCCTCGCCAGAGAGCATTTCTCTTCCTGAACTCAGACAGTAAGTAGCCCCAGGGTACCCAGCATCAGCGGCTCACTCCAGATTGGCAGGCTCCAACCCTCCCTCTGCTGCCTGGCACAGGGCCGGTGTTATGACGTCTTAGTCTGGTGTGCCATCTGCTCACAGAGATTGTGTTTTACGGCCTGGCATATCCAGGCTTTGTGCATTGTCACTGATGGTGAGATGGGCCTGGCTGGAGGGGAGGGGGGCAAGAATCTCTGAGCTGGGGCGAGAA